CTTTGGAATAAATATGATAATTTTGTAATTTACTTAAATTATTATAAGAATTGAATTAAATATTTAAATTAATGCTTTATATCTAACTATTTATAAATCAAGTTTAAATATGTTAATAAATTTATAATCTTTTTATTATTACTGTCGTTTAATAATCAAATCATAATATTTTAATTCATCAGAATAGCTACTGCTAGATCACTCTAGTTACTTTATACACCACTACTTGCCAAATGCTATATCACTGCATCAAGGACACTCTGCACAGGAGCATTTCTGAAAAAGATTATTGATCAATAATTGCTGTACATGGTTTAAGGAGGATATGAAATTATTTAAAGGTATTTTTTACCTTGTATGGTATAACAAATATATATATTTATTTTCTTATTTTAAATCGAAGATTAAGATTAATATTTACATAAATTATTTCAAGTTGTCATTCTGCTGAAGATTTGAAATTTTAGTCTTTGAAGAAGTAAAAAATTTGTAAAATCGGGTGTAAAGGGAATAGGACGCAAGTTCTTGCATACCATATGTGACGTTTCGACCTCGTTCCTCTTCTACTGGCCAAAAAGTACACTTTGTCACTGATCTATAGATGGTCCGCTATGAAACATTGTTGGACAACAAGATTGGTTGACGAGGAAACACGATGTTTGAAACATCACAGCAACATAATCACACTATCGGCGTCCACGAAAAGACAACAATTTACGGAAGAGGCCATGTGATTATGAATGTTACAATACTACTGATACCAATAAAGTATCGATGCTTTTCTTTCGATACAAGTAATTTTTGTATTTGATACCATGGTTTCGATACTTATATCGATAAGAAAATACTGGTATCGAATGATCAGTATTGAATCAATTACTAACCGCCAATATGGTTCAAAAATCAAAATACTCGAAAGGTATCATATAATAATTATTTTCTAATAAAATTGTTTGTGCGCGTGGTGGTTCATTTGTTTACATAAATCAGTCATCACACTATAGTCTATACTCTATACGATTATATTGTTATTTCCACGGACCAGAAACCACAGTCCACAATAGAATAGAGTCAATAGGTTTCAATATGAACGATTATTCCTATCGGCCGTTTTTATATTTTTACTCTTATCATTATTTTAATTCGATTCGATACGACGATACGAAGAAGGTTTATTTACACGGTGTCAGTTATCTGTTTTCGTTGTAGTGGAGGGGAGAAGCTTTCGCGCCAGTAAAACCAAGGTGGATATATATCCACCTCGAGTAAAACAAAAATATTTGTTCTGCTGGTAATGTCATCTGCTGGCACGCTAGTGCCCACTAGCTTTCTCCAGTTGCTGGCAGATTATTTTTAGACGTTGCCAGTCGCTGGCATTCAATTACTGGCGACTTTGACTGGTACGTCGACTGGTCACGTATAAATCAGCCTTAAGTATTCGCATTGGAGGTATTCCAGAAACATTTATGATTAGCCCCACACAAGGGAGATTATTTAATTTATGCTTCATTAAACATGGAAGAAAGATAGCACATAGGAGTTTTATTCATATTAAAGATAATTTTTTGCTGAATTTAGTGATACCAAAACTTCAATTTGGTAATTTTTCACATTGGAAATTTATTCTCATGGACGACGATTTGTAGGTCGCATATTGGACCATTACCAATTTTAGTATAAGATATAAATAAAATAACCATTTAATATCAATATCTATTTATAATTGGGTAAAACATAGCCATACAAGGTATTCATCTATTTCTATACTTTTTACTATTTTATTAACTAAAAACATTACTAAATCGTATTTATTAGCATTAATAAGTGTATAATAAACATTTAATTTATATACATATTTTAGGTAAACTATTTATTAAGTGTTTAATTTACTATGTTCTTGAAACGTTTTAATTATATATTTCAAACATGTTATATTCTCAAAACATATAGAAACGAGGACATAATATTTTTGAACTCCAGTTAAAATGTTGATATAATAAACGTAAAATTACTATTAAAATATTGTATATTCTTAAAATATAAATTTGTTATCTGGACGGTGATCGGTGACGAATTCATTTGCCGCGTGTTGAACGGACGTTGTTCGCCCACGATGAAAGTCTAACCCGGCTACTTTTGTCGTTACTCGTCGGCCATTTCACACTCCTCGTGTTTTCACTATTTCACTTCGATTCTTTGACAATGATAGTACCACAGATAACCTTATGACTAACATTTATATTAATAAAACTCAATTATTACGTAACGTGTGCTCGTGACATCCGCGAGAGTGAATTCGCTCAACGTTATAGAGCATAGATTGTTAACCTTTTCTGGGCCATGGACCCCTTGAAAGCATAAAAATATAATCACAGACCCCCCTTCAAAAAAAAAAAAATATATATATATAAATAAATATAATTTTTATTACACGGCGACGGGTTAACTGAAGTGATAGGGTTCCGAGTTAAATTGAAATGCTCCTTAAATCGTATTGCCATGTTATATTATTTTACGATTAGGATAACTTTATATGGAGTGTAAAATTATTGTAATCTAAGTTTTATATTTAAATACATTGTTGGCTTTTCAAGAGGCTTTCAAGTCTTTCAATAATTATTATTGTTATTTTAAAAACGCTATCGAAACAAATTTATTTTTGGCTTATTTTTAAAAAAAAAAACACAACCACTCGGTGGACCCTTGGTTAAGAACCTACGTTATAGTGCCTCGATTGTTTCGTACAAGCATTATTGTTTACACCTAATGTGTACATTCATAATTATCTACGTACTTTTGTTACAGAGCAATAACCAGTGCGAGCAGCCGCAGTGTAGTAGACCTTGTAATCCGAAATTGGTAAGAAACATAAACGTTATCCGAATGACGGGAAAAAAAACTGTTAACGAATGTCCATACAAGCCGAAAATGGATGATAATTGTTTACTATTATCATTATTATTATACTCTTGCAAGCTGTAGCATATTTAACAATGGTTTTTTATTTCAATGCTATAACAAATACGTTCAGCCCTGTAGACCGGAGACGTGTAAATCTACATCGGTATGTACTTATTTTATCTAATAATAATCGATTAATGACTTTGCACCAAATATGAGTGTGGGGATGATGGGGCTTTGGTTATGTGAGCTCAGTCTTTTCAAATTAAAAATAATTAAAACTGTTTTTTTACATTTGAAATAATTTTACTCGATACACTAATTAATTTTTTAGTTTTGAAAATACTAGTTATTCGGAGTAGCCTGACCTATTAGGTACTTGATGTGATTACTCTATATAAATGAGTTACGACAGACTATAATTTTAAGGAAATAAGTAAAGTAGTGATGTAGCATGTACTCCTAGTAGTCGGAGACGTAAATTGGGCGCAATTTCTGGTATATTCTCAACCAATAATTTCCAACAAACCAATACTCTAACTTCCTTAGTAATTATCCATATATTCAGTGGCAGATTAGGAGACAGGCTACAAGGTTTATAGCCTAGGGCGACTTTTTTAGGAGGGTGGCTTTTTTTTTATAGAATTAAGTGTTATTATTGACTTATTAGGTATACTTATTTTAATATATTTTTTTATATTTGTCATATAAACACGAATAAAAATAATTTTAAAAAGTTATAATTGTATACTAATATGTACATTGTATGATGCGTACTTATAGGCTATAGTAAGAATATTACAATTATTATCACAATTTGAAAATATTTCATGTGTAATAAAATAATTACAGTTAGTTACTAGTTATTATTAATAACTTATTAGTGTACTTATTGGGAACATCCGACTATCCGAGTATAGGTATTTTCACATCTGGCTATTTATATTTTCGTTATGTGACTGTATAAGCATTGTTTATTTGTACTGGTAATAATGGTATCTGAAGTAAAATAATAGACATGAAATATTTTATTTTTAGAAGTTTTCTATTTTAAAGATTTTATATTTTATATAATTTTTTTTTAATAGAAAAACTGAATAAAATTTGAAGAGAAGGGCTTAGACCAAATATTGTTGGTTCCTTAGTAGAGTGATAGGGGGGAGGTGGTAGAGTGATTAAGCCTAGGGGTGCCAAAACGTTAAATCCGCCACTGCATATATTTTATAATTATTTTAGCAGTAAAATATTTAATATTATTAAAAAACACAATCAACAACTTTTATTTTTTATTTTAAGTTGAATCGATGTTCTCTTTCGATAAATTTTGCATCAAATTCATCAATCACTTAATCCAAATTAATGTTACTTCTTTTTGGACTGTAAAGTAACTAAACTGCTAAGCCTTCCCTGCGTTACTGTCGTATAGGATGTGTTTTTAACCTCTTCAGATAGGAAAAGGATTTTTCTCAACTTGTCACTGTATTATTAAATGTAATTTCTTATAATAATGATTACGTATTTTTAGAATAAAATAATATTGATACAAAAGTCGAATAGGGAGTGTTAATAATGAGCTTGGAAGTGGTGATCACCATTAGCACCTCCACTTTTACCAACGCTATTATCTTAACACTTTGAACCTCTCTCTCAAAACATATGTAAGCATTAGTTGTCTCTTCACTATATATCCAGATGTGCACAAGCGGAGAAACTCAGTGGCGGGAGATTGATGTGAATTTTTCATGTGGACATAATTGAATACGAAAAATCGTGTTCAAACATTATCGCTCATTAAAATCTATTAATTTTTAGCATTCATTCAGAAACGAAGGAAAAATCGTAGGAAATACGGTTTACAATTGTTCTTACGCGACTTACGTCTGTGGATCGGGGCAGAAGCCGATAAAACAAAATGATAATCTGGTCATGGCTGGCGAATTTGACTGCTTAACAATCAACAGGGTGAATACCGATTTTTCTCTTAAAAGAGGCGTCTTCGCCGTGCACTGTGAATGATATTCTATTATATTTACGCACTGCAGATGAGCTACCCGATACATTGTTCATCCAGAGTGAGCAAAATCGTGCCCAGAGATCATTGTCTTGGGGGCAAAACATCTATGAAAAAGGAGACTACGATGGTTCATGATTTTTATTTACCATGTGACGTTGATCGCGAGAAGAAAATATTGCCCCGTAACAATTTTCGTGGGTATGACGACTGTCCTATGGATTCATTGACGACAAATAACTGTTCGTACCAGCCAGTGTGCACCGTCCCGATGATCAGTTACATGTCAAAAGACTAGTATGATATAGCGTCACATCATTTTGATATTAAAAAATAATTTTCCTAATGTACTTTTTTATGTTAATAAAATCAGTAATTCCCGTGTTATAAGACTTGACATTATTTTTCACTAGCCCTAATAATGGGATTCATACCATTTACCTTTTAAAAAATCACAACATATTTTGAATCACCATGTATTTTAATGTAAAAATTATTGACATTGTTTAAATCTGAATAATTTGCTAAACAATCATATTAATCACATTTATATGTTATTCGTATAAATAGGTAGTTATTCCGTTCCAAAAGAACAAATGGATACGACTACCGTACAAAAGTTGAGTTATTAATATAAATGCTCACCATCAAAACTTAAAACGCTATGGGCCACGGGTGGGTTTAAGGAGGTGGCTAAGGTGGCATTAGCCCCCTTCCCCTTGGGACTAAGCTATCTATTTTACAAAGTAAAGTATTATTATATATTAATAATTATAATAAAATACCGTAAATGGTCATTGATGGATATGGTACCTATTTCATATATTTTTTTTTTTAAATTAATAGCTCTTTTGTTATTAATTATATGTATTTACCTATATATTAAAATGGTTTCAGATTAAAATTGATACCAATAATGTAACTATTTAAACATTGTCATTATTGTGAAAAAAATGACTTACTTATAAGGGACTCAAAAACATATTCTGTAATTTAAAATTTTATATAGATTTAAAAAACCAACTAACTAAATTCTTAAACCTCCATTAGCCCTTCCCTTGGTTAGTGATAAAACCCATCCCTGCCATGGGCAATGAAAATGTAATACTGTACCTAAACCGAAAAATCAAGTAGAAAATTGCACAATTTTAAAAGTAACATATCAAAAAAGTAAAGTTACAATCACAAGTAACATCAATAATAGTTTTAAAACATTTTTTTATACACGTTTAAATTTATTTATCATTTGATCTTTCTTAACTGATTAAATTTTTTTATGTCTCTGATACCTATGTACATTTAATTTAAAAATATTTAGTATACATTTCACCCATAGCATTTAGCGTAAATCATTTGTTAGCAGTAAAATAATTTAGGAACAATTTTTAATACAGAATAATAATAATACAGGTAATACAGACAACTGTGTTTAAACAAAAAACTTAGGTATCTTTGTAAAATATGTTAAATTATTTTTCTTGTCGAACACAGTTTTCAGGAACCTGGACATTATGTGTTTGTCAATGAAACAGCAACATGAGAACCAAGTAAGATATATATTATTGCAATCACAATGACCAAATCATAATACAATTTTTTTTTTTTGAAGGAAGCTGTTGTCCGGTTGGTTGCTTAGCGACCAATGTCAAAAAGAAATTCAAAAAGAATTATATTAAAGTTTATGACTATCAATAGTCATTGATGCGACAACATAAAAAAATATTTAAATAATTTTCACAGATTTAGGGAATAAATCAATTTTTTTTTTTTTTTGCTATCTAGTGATATATAAATATATTTTTAGACAAATTTCGAAATGATTATCATTTTTAAATGCGCATGCGCAGTACAATATGTGGTTTTTTTTTCATAAAGTAAGACCTATTATGAACACCATATTTAAATAAGCCTATTCTTTTAAAGTAATTTTGATGTATCAACTATGGTTCTAAAATCAAAATTAACTAAAAAAGTTAATATTTATATAATTTAAGTTGATTTTACATTATTATTTTCCTTTTACCTTTAACTTTTAGTCTTATGTTTGATATTATATTATATTGAGATATTTAGAAAAATATTCTGTCATATAGTATAAACCATTTAAAAGCTAAAAACTTATAACACAAATTAATTTGGTTCAAGACACATTAACTAACCAAAAATATTATTCAGTAAAAAAATTACTCAAATCTATTATCTATACCTTATTTAATACGATTAAATTAAACTTTAATTTTATTTCAATATCAATATAGTGTTTTAATTTTTAATAAAATGTATTAATATATTCATAATATATTTTTTTTTAATAATTTGTACATGGAATACATTTTCTTTTAAAATCAAATTTTAAATTAGAAAAAAAAATACATAAATATTTATCTTAAATTAACAGAATTTTTGCAGCTAATGATGATAAGTAATACAATCTTTATATTTATACTTGTATGCGTTTAATAAGTGATTTTAAAACATTATTAGCCGGAAGTGTTTCTAATTGATTAACCAAATCTTCTAAAATAACAAAAGTTAAAGATTAAAAATATTTATAAAATATAATTAATATATAGTATGAATAGTATTATTCATCTTACGTTTGTTTCCAAAAATAGTATCAGATATTATAGCTGCATGAATACTTTGAGCTAATCTTTCCACCACTATTTCAACAGAATACATGGAAGCTGGATCATTTGATCTAAATTTGAAAACATTTATTTTAATAATAAATAAATTGAAATTGAATGTCAATTACATATTGTATATATAATTGCACTTTGTAAATTTTGTAAATATATTTCCTTTTTAATAGAGATTATTTTATAGATGACAATTTTTAAATAATCTTTAGCAATTACCATCCTTTTTATATAAAGATAATTACTTCATAGTTTCTTCAATAAGAGCTTTCAGTTGTGGAAGCAAAACAGAATGTACACTTAAAGTATATGGTCGACTGATTCTTGGATTTTCTTCTGAATATACTTTCCAGCCTTGCATAACACTCTCAATTAAAGCACAATGTAGTTCAGAATAAATAGCCAAGTCTTCACTGTTTTTCACACACAGTGGAGCAAAAAAACACCATCTGAATAGACCCAGAAAAGGTAGAGTGGCTACCATTGGAATTGCACCACTTGGTAAAGCACGTTGTAAATCTGTGTAATGTGCAGTGAAACATAAACATGGATCAGAATTGATCCACCGTACAACAGTTTCTAATACAATACGAGGGGGTAGTACAATACTCATAGTTGTATCGGTTGTTTCTAAAATTGAAAAAACAAATAATGTTACTATTTTCATTAAAAAAAAATTATTAATAATTTTTAAATTACACTATGGTTTTAATAAAATTTTATTTTATTAGTTTAAATTCTATTCATATAAAATATACAAAATGTAATTTTAATCAGAGGCTATTTGAAATTTTTAAATTGGTAGTTCAAGAAAAAAGAGATTTCATCCATACTCTACATCAAAATCACATTTCATGAACTATAATTTTGTCATCACATTGTTTAAAAATTTTATGAAACTATTGTGATCACTCATTCACTATGTATTTGTTTTTACAATTACTTGGTTATTAGATTACCATATTCATATAAATTATCAATTACCACAAGTAAACTTAATAAAAAATTAATTTTTGAGTAGTTCAATGAACCACAAATACTATGTGAAACTGCCTCTGATTTTAATTAATAAATTATTGGTGTTCAAATTAATGACCAATTTTACGAGCATTATTTTTAAAAAATAAACAAATATACTAATAAATAAAGAGTAAATATTAAAATTTACTCTTTATTTATTAGTATATTTGTAGTATAATTAGTAATATTTATATTATAATAGTTACTTGGATTGAAATACAGTTCTGATAGTGCAGTCATCAGATTGGCTGTGAATAAAGGAGCATTTTGAGGAAGTAAATGCAATGATGTACTTTGAGTACCTATAAATGTAAAGAATTTATTGACTAACCCATCAGCCAATTGTAAGCTGTATTTAGATGAACAGCCTAATTGTTGCATCTGTACACCAGCAGATTGTAGTATAAGGTTACTGTAGGTAGATATAGCTAATGACACCAGGCTCACTAACATATTAGTTCGCTGAGGAGGTGCACCAAACTGAGGAAATAAGGTCATGAAAATGGCATTTAGAGCAGTATCTCCACAACAATTGTCATTATCTTGTTTAATTTTCGTTTTATTAAAGTAATCACAAATCATTACTAACAATTCTAAATGTCTAATACGAGACATTGGCTGTTAAAAAAAAACAAATATATTAGAATTACATAAATTAAAAAGTATATACAATAATAGTATGTAATAGTATACCTTAGTAGATTTTCCTTCTTCATTAGTTTCACAAAATATGAACTCTGATATTAAATCCATAGCAAGGTCTTCATTTAAGTGTTGCTTACGTGATGTTTCACCGTTAATTATAGATTCTAAAATAATAACAATGAAAATAATAATGTTTTCTACAAATCAATTATTTTCAATATTTATATTTACAATAAATTATGTAAATGTTTCATATTAAGTGAAACTGGACACATTAATTTTTGGTTGATGAAATTCATTAGAATTTAAAACAAAAACATTGAACTAAACATTTGCAAGCTGTATTGTATTACTTACGTATTTGATTTAATGCATTTTCAGTGGAAAGGGGGAAAGCAAATTTTCTTAAATTTACTTTAACTTCATTATAATCCATTTCTATGTTCTTTTGAAGACAATTTTAAATATTAAATAAAACGTACACCATATAAGACGGTTTTACTTTTGTTGATCAATCACTCCGAGCTATTTAACAATATGGAATGTATAAATCACTTTTGAAAGAGTATTCATAAAAATCGAAAAAAAACATGTCGCTACATTACACTTTCAGTATTCATATATGTACTTATTTGTGACGCATGGGATATTAAATTCAAAATTGTGTATCTAACTAGCCTAAGGCACTAAACAATTTTAAACCGAAATAGTATCACATAAAGGACTGATAACGTCATCGCCGTAAAAAATTATGCGGTTATGTACGTTTCCTACGATTATTTTGTTCCACTAACCACTTACTTGTTACTGACTCCCAACTCTCAAGTCCTTGTATTATTGACTCGAAAGTTAATGGGGTTATTAATGAAGTTGTTGGACCAACACAAAATATCAAACCCGGACACCCACTTCTTTGTAAAAATATTTTGACAAAAGTATGGCCACCCGAACAGAACTGTTGTTAGGGAAAGTATACCAATGCTCTGCACGAACATAGACTTCGCCGCGCAGGGACTCATTCCCCTGATCTTAGTTCCTAGGTTTTGCTTTCAACAATAGCGAGTTTAATAATTTTTTTTAGATAAAATACCTAGTACCTAGTTTATTTATGCTGTTTTTCATTTACTAAGTAGAAATAGTATATATATATATATAAATAGTATATAAAGCGTGCTGGATAAAATAACTGAATCTACGAATACATTTAATCGAGTAGTCCAAAAATTAAAATTTGTTTTAAATAATAAGTTACACATGACCATATAGTAGGGTTGCCATAAATGTTTAAGGCGAAACCGGGACAAAACCAATGACGGTGATAGAGTTTGCGAGGCCCTGGGCAAAATAAATGTTGAGTTTTATAATTTATATTAATAAAATATTTTAAGTTCAGTTAAATCAGAACCACGGGGCCTTAATTATAATTTAAGGTGCGGGGGCCAGGGCAACTTCCCCTATTGCCCACCCCTCCGCGTCGTCCCTGGACAAAACAATCACATTATTGAGTAATACACTTATTATATAATTTTTAATATATTGAGAGTACCAGTGGCGTATACAAGGGGGGATGTGGCCGTCAGATTCCCCCTAAGCCTTTTTTTAAATGTTATAAAATAATGTTCTTTGTGTGAGGGCGTTAGAAACTTAAAAAAAAAAAAAAAATAACGATTTGTTTGCAAATGATCCCTCCCCCATACAAAAGTTATGTATACGCCACTGAAGAGGACCATTAATGGCCGGAAATATAATATTTAAAAATATTTTTGTAAAATAATTTATGTTACATATTTATGCGTGTAAATTACAAATTATGTTTTTATTATATGGGTTTTTTCAATCGATTACGACTAAAAATGTACTTTGAGATATTGAGATAAAAGGGTTGAAAATAAAAATTAAGCAATAGGTATTACATTTCCTCTAAACGTCCAAGCCGGAACATATGGACGCCGCCAGTGACGTATACATAACTTATGTATGGGGGGGGGGATCAGTTGCAAACAAATTATTATAGAAGGAAAATTTCTAAACCTAAGTACTTGCATATTTAAATAATAAATAATAAAAGATACTATACATTAAGTATAACTATAGTATATATATATATATATATATATATATATATATATATATATATATAGATAACTATATCTTTATTTAGCTATTGCGCTTAGATTTTGTTAAAAAAAATGAAAGTGTTATATTTACTTAATGTTTTAATCATATTTTTATTGGTATATTTTTCAAACGGACAATTAAAAACAGGATATCCGAATAATGATCCACTTGGCAATCTAATTACCGATTACGATTACTATGAGGTAGAAATGAATAAAAAAAATGACAAAAATACCAAAAAGAGTCCGTGCTGTACTGAAAGAACTCAATCGACCAGGTAACAGACTTAATTTTGGTAGTACGTTTAACGAGTAAATGCAAGGTATGGGTGGGTGCCAATTAAAATGAAAAATGGAGGTCCGATGACAAAAAGGGTCATATAATTATTTTTCAATTTAATGGACCGGCAAAAAACTACAATATGGTTCCTATGATTAATACTCAAAACAGAAATTTTCGTGTAAATAATGTATTCCTGCCAAGTTATTATGATATGGAAATACGAATGAGAGATTTTATTTTAGTGGGATGTGGTGGTGTCGATGTAGAAGTTGTTATAAATTACTACTGTGATTGCCAAGAATCTTGTGAGCGTGAAGATCACCAGCCACCTCTTCGATCAAAAAGTTTTTAAATGCATCATACATTCGTATTTAATATTGGTTTTATGAATTTATATCAACCAAATGCTCTTCATTATACACGATTTGAAAACAGTCTAGGTCTAGTGAATATACCTCAACAATTAATAGACGATAATATACCGACAAAAATAAAACATTTTGGTCCACCAAGGGTACCGAAATCTTTGGTAAAAGGTATTAAATTGTTTGATAGAAATCTCATTGAGAAAAACCGTGCAAAACAAGTAAAGCATGTTCAAGATGGAAAAATGCGGAATGTTGCAGCGGGCAATGGAAAACCAAAAAATCATACGACCATAAGAAATGACGAGCAAGATATATCTGTAGAGATATTCAAACGTTTATTATCGTTTGGCCGTTTAGAATGTATCGATCTGAGCGCATTTGGACATTTAATATTTACCGAAGCAATAAAACTAATAAAAGGTCGTTGTATTGTTGCATTCAACGGAGAAATATGTACAGGTTTCTATCGAATTATTACACAAAAAGATATTAATATTTTTACAGACAACTCAAAGAAAGATCCAGTTTTATTCGGCATCAAAAGTATTACTGGTTGTTGTCAACATTTAGCTGGGAGTTACGACAATAACTATAACATCTATAATGTTGGAACGTATAGAAATCTCCAAAAGAGAGGTATTAATATTGATTCAGCCAAAGAAATGGAATGTTAATGTGCCTGTTCTACTACTACGAGTACTACACCTGAAACTTCATCCACTACCAGTATAACTTCAAAACCATCAATTACCACTCTTCGTTCTACTACTACGAGTACTACAACGAAACAGTCAACCACTATTAGTACAACTTCGAAACCATCAACTA